ATGTGGTTTATGAGATTGGTTCTTGATCTCTTTTTTCAATTCACTGTTGTTGACGGGAAGAGATTTCAAAATTTCTTCGAGTTTTTTGCAACACTTTGCTCATCGCTGATTATTCGTTTCCAGGTTGTTGGAATTAATAATTTAAATTTGAACATGATTGGTATGTGGTCATTTGTTGTGACGAGTGGTAAAGTTTGTTCATGTTCTATTTCAATGTGACTCGAGTGGAATAGGTGGTCAGGTCTTGAGATTGTTTCTAATATTTTGTTTTGTGATGTGTATTTTCTGATGTAGGATGGAATTATTGTTTCTTTCTTTTAGGTTATGTTGGTCCATAAATGTTTTCCACTTGGTGTCTTTGTAAGCATTTCCTTCCGAACTAAAATTCATGTCAACAATCACTATTATTGGTTGGTGATTTAGGGTTGATAGGGTTTCAGATAATTTCTCGAGTAAAATATTTTCTTCTTCTTCATTTCTGTTTCCAGAGTAGTTATAAATATTAAATATATTCAATAAGCATCCACCGATGTGGATGGTGCATAGTTGGAGACGTCCTGGAATAAGGATTTGATGAATAGCTTTTTGTGACGTTGATGGGTAAGGACAAAAGTTCCATCATGAGAATTATTATTGTTGAGAAAAGAATAATATCGATAGAGGTTTTGGTGAAAAGTGCGTGTGTATTGTGAGTTGTTAATGTGTGATTCTTGGATTGCCATGAAGTTAAGTTGATAGATATCCATAAGCCGTATGATTTTGTCCAATCTACTTGATTGATTGGGATCCTTTGGAAGGATTCCATTCACATTAAGGGTTGCAATAGTAAAAGTCATTCAATATCTTTATCATGCATGTCCTTTCTCTTTCCAGCTTGAACGAGTCTTTTAACGCTGTGCATTAGAGTTTCCATATTCTTAGCAATATATGATATATTGCTTTCCATATTGGAGACTCTTTTCTCAAGGCTGGTAAACCTTGCTTCATAATTATTTGGAGTAGTAATAGTTGAGAAGTTAGAGCTTTCTTTCTCTGTTGATTGATTTGATTTGGAGATAGCTTTTTCTTTAAAGAACTGCGCTTTGGACTTGAAGGATTTTGTGATGATTCTGCCATGCTTGGTTTCAATAGGATGGACCACTTCTAAGATACGATCGACTTCAGTATCAGATTTAAGAGTCACTATGATGTTATAATATGATTCTTCAGGATTAAAAGGAGATGCCTTTTCATCGATTTTGATAGAGTTTGGGTGAATAGTAATTCCTGCTTTAGTGGTGATATCTTTAACGACGTTTACGATTTCATGTTCTTCAAAATCTGTAGAGAGGTTGATAAAGACTTCAAAACGGGAATCTTCAGCTAGTTGAGTATAAGTTTTGAGGCGAGACCATTCGGTGTTAGAGAGGATTTCTTGTAGTGATTGTAAATTCTTAACTGTAACAGTGGTTTTGAAGCAGCTTGAGTCTGGTGGTTTACTAATTCTCATAGCTATTAAACCTTTAGATTTCTCATGCCAATTGCATAGGCAGGAGATCATATGAAGAATATTGTTTTCATCGTTTCCAGTAAGATGTTGAGCGGTGAACTCTGTGATTTGGAGACATATCAGAGATAAAGTATTTAAAGTTTGTTTGACTTTTGGCGCTATTGAGGTTCTTGATGATTTCGTCCCTTGAGCTTGATGAGGACGGAACAATTTGGAGTATGAATGGTCTTTCAGAGGGGACCCATGGATCCTTCGCAAGTTTGGAGGCCTTGAGGTGATTGAGGAGAAATTGAAGTGCCTCTTTGTTTTTGTACAAGTTGGTTGCGCAGTATATTGTTAATCCTTTGTTGAAGTCGATAGATTTCTTAGTTGTTGGGCGGGTTGATTGCATTTTGCGGTCTTTGGTGTTTTTTTGGTTGAGGTTTTTTACCTTAGGGTTCGGGGAGTTATCTTTGGTAGAGAGACTTTTTTGTTTAGGTTGATATTGGTTGTTGTTTCTTGGTTGAATCTACGGCTTTGGTATTTGTTCTTCATAGGAATTTGTTCTTTTTGTTGTGTGTAAGTGTGTGTGGTGTGTGTGGTGTGTGTATGTGTATGTGTTTGTGTAGAAGATGGTGCTTGTATTTGTGTTTGGGGAATATTGGAGTGGACATAACTGACTCATCATTTGGAGGGTTATCATTGATTTTAAGATTAGAAGTAGGTTCATGCAGTTGCTTTTCAATCATATCATTAATTACTTTAGTGAGATCATTCATGGTAGATTGTAGGTATTCAATATATTTTTCAAGGTGCGCAATTTTAGTGATTAACGAGGGATGATCGTCAGTCATTTTTAAGGGCTCGTTCACGAAAAATACGCTCGAGTTGTCCACTCGTGAATTATATTCATCAACAAAAGGCCATCTCTATCAAAGTACTTCAAGTGATCAACTCGAATCGTTCGAAACACAACAAAACTCCCAAATGAAACGAACTTTTCATTCATCGAACGCTGCTCCTCAAAATTCACATCAACACGAAGGAAATCTCTCCTCTATCAATGAAAGTATTTACAGCACTCGAAAACGAAATTCAAGTGCTGTTCCTTCAGTTGTGTCTTCTTTGTATTGCACAAGCAATGACAATTCACAAATGTCCACTGTTGCAAATGAGAGTGGAGCAACAACTATAGACACAGCCTTGACCTCAATAACACTAAGCCACACGCAGACTCAGAACCAACAACAGCATCATGAAGAAACACATGTGTTGGATGTGAGTGTTCATGGGGAACCAACTCTTCATTAAACATGACCTCGAGTCCAGCAGCAATTAGCAGTGAGAATTCTCAGGTTTGAAACGAGTGAATGGAAAATACTATTGTCTGTCCATTCATTGCACAATTTTAAATTATGAGATGCAGAGAGAATAATTGAATTTGTCGATGAAACAGCTAGGTTGGACTTTTGGTTTGCAGTTTGGGTGTTGGAGTTCATTTTCCTCACTGAGTCTTTATGATACTACATGTTCATTCCCTCAATATTTAACGAACCAAACTTGCTAAATAGAACCAATCCTTTCACAGATTGAAAACATCACAATAAATGATGCCTTCCTTTTATGTAAATCTGATATGGAACAAGACTATTTGTTCATTAAAGGTCATCACCGAGAACAGCACAGAAAAATGAATCTTTTCAAATTAAAGAGTACCACCTCCACGCATGAATTTGTGCCTGATGTGACACATATCCTCATCAAAAATTGGACCAGTGAAAATTTCAAACATTGGCTTATGAGCGAAAAGTATGATCAAAAACGGTCATTGATGGTATGTTTGATTGTTGTGTCATTGGTTGTAATGGAGAATTGGGACTAAACTTTTTCAAACTATTCTTGTTTCAATTAATATAATGGTCTTGACGATGATGTTTGATGTTCATGGATTTCGTTGTCTTTTCGATAATGAACCTTCACGTTTGCATTGATGAATTCAATGTTTCACAATCTCAATGGTTTAATCTTTGTTTTCTGAAAAGTCATCATGAAACAACAACTCACAGGAAATGCCATTCTTTGTTTAACTAAAGAAGATTTAACTGAATTCAAAGTTCCAACAGGAGCTGCCATCTCTATAGTGGCCAAACTTGAAGCACTGAGACAACAACAAGAAGATTTGTTACAACAGCCTCAACAACCAAAACTCTTCTCCTTGTCTTATCCATCCACCATCCAAACAACTACAGAACCCTCCAATTCGGAAATGAGTAACGATCATGATCAACATGATACCTCTACCACAAATCCTGCTGTCGTTCCTCCTTATTCTTCGTATCCAAGAACCTCTCCGAGACCATCCCTTCCAAAACCACCACAAACTCCAACCGTTCTCAAACCCATTCATCATGATCATCGTATTGACAATGAACAAGATAATATTATCAATCATCATACACATTCATCCACCACTGCAACTACCCCCAAGTTTCTCCTCGAAATGAAGATTCTACATCCTCTGCGAAAGTGAGTCCGAGAAGAGATCATCACAAGCCTTTACCAACCATTCCTCAACAGGGTGCATCATCAGGTTCATCATCATCAATAACAAAAACATCCTCAACAACTGCTCCAGTACCTCCCGTTAAAAGATCCAGTTCAGTTGCTACGAATATTACTACTCAAGGTATTAATAATAATAATACTCGTCCTGAGTATTGGCAACAACAACAACAACCAATCGATCAATATCCTAAGCAACAATCTCCTCGTCTTCATCAACCACCACAAAAACAACCCATAACAACTCAACGCTCGAGTCCAACACCCATTCAAGATAGCAAGAATATGAGAACAAAGAAATTTGTGGATGCCGGGTTTTTCCCAGAAGATGAATTATAAGATTGAAAACATTTTTTCCTTAATGAATTACTTGCTGTTAGTTGAGTTCGATGAATACTTGATGCTTAATAAAATGTAGAAACATCGGAAGTGTCATTAAATTCAATCATTCAATTAAAATTAACTGCCGTGACTATCCAAAGAGAACACGCATTCATGGTTGAGCAAAATAGTCAACTAAATTCGACGGGAGAAATGTTTTGGAACTTCGTCGGCGAATAAAGAGATGTTGTAACTTAGGATAATAGAGCTCAAGAACGCTGCTTCCAAACTGTTGGTTGCTCCATAACAGACATCCATCCTCCGTCGCCAAGAGATGTTTCTCTACGAATCCTTTGTACATGCACAACTTTACTTTATGATACAAATATTGGATTTGTTCTATTACATATTAAATTTTAAATAATATATTATTCAAGAACAAGAATACATAATTTCAATTTACAACAAATCACACTTTCCAGCAGGTTTCTTCTCTGGTTCAGTTTGTTTAAACAAGAATGCTCGGATTGCCTCATCAAAGACTCCCTTCACTCCTTGTTGTGTCTTGGCTGAACACTCAACATATTTCAAAGCTCTGATTTCTTGCTTCAACTTTTCTCCTTGATCAGCAGTGAGTGGTTGCTTTCCTTCTCACGCAATTTCTGTACAGTGCTTTCATTGTCTCTCAAGTCGACTTGTGTACCAACGAGAATGATTGGAACGTTCTTGCAGTGATGAGAGACTTCTGGATGCCACTTCAAACGGACGTTATCGTAGCTGGATGGATTCACCACAGAGAAGCAAATGAGGAAGACAGAGGTACCTGGATAGGAGAGAGGACGCAAACGATCGTATCTGTTGTTGTTATTGTTGTGTTATTGGAAGGGGTTTTGTTGTGGTTCAGTTGTTGTTTGGGTGTTGTTTTTGATGATGTTATTAGAAACGGACGAATGATGAAAAGAAGGAATGATGATGAGAGGAACACGGAAGAAGTAAAACCGTTATCATGATCACCATGATTCTAATCAAACACACACTCTACTTACTCTTCTTGACCAGCAGTATCCCACAATCCCAAGTTGATGGTCTTTCCATCAACCATCACGTTTGCAGAGTAGTTATCAAACACAGTTGGTACATATCTATCCGTCATCAAATTTAATGGTTCATGATGGTTGTTGTTCATGTTGAGTCATAATTAGGTTCATCATCACGAGAAGGATGATATCATTGTTGTTAGGGATGTTCATAGTTGCGTTTTTAAAAACCATATGCATCACCACAACGAAATATAACAAAATTAATGCATAACAACAACAGCGCACAAAATGAAAGGATGAATGTGGAATCCAACATCAACACCATTGTTGTCATCATCAAAATAATAATAATAATAACAAAAACATCATCATTGTTCACAACAATAGTGATTCACATCGTTATGTTTTACTTACTCTTCAGGGAAGTGATTCTTGGCATATACATAGAGGAGACAGGTTTTACCGACAGCTCCGTCACCTACAATGACACATTTAATATGTTGGATGGTGGTCTTGCTCATTTCTATGGTGGTTGTCTGTATTTTTCGTTTGTGGTTGGTTGTTACCTAGAAGTGCAAATGTTGAGGTATTGACA